TAATGTGACGTCAAATCGAGAACACGAAAGTCTACATTTCACACATTTTCACTTGTTTGGGAAGGTTGTCGTCGATATTGTCCGAAATATGCCGACTAGGTGTGTTGTATGAGGAATGTATGAAGCGCGATACCCTCTTGCAAATTTCGCACGTTGCTACATCCTTCTACAACACACTTAGTCGGCATATTTTCGGACAATATCGACTACAACCTTCCCAAACAAGTGAAAATGTGTGAAATGCAGACTTTCGTGTTCTCGATTTGACGTCACATTACCTGCTAGAGCCATTCCTCTTTAAACTCGGTTGTGGGGCAAGATGGCGGCTGATTTTCCGTATTTTGACTGGGCACAGAAAATTGAAGATTTGATCAAATAAAAGAATTTTTGCACAGAAATACTTCAAAAAATACGCTTATTTCGTTAAGCAGAAAAAAATTTTTGGGTTTAGGTGCACTTTAACAATCAGATCTTCGGAGTTAAAGGATTAATAATTGTTCACTGAAGGCAAAGTGAATAATTTTGAATATTTCCCTGAGATAAAGTCCAGGGGATTGTTCAACAAGGTGATTATGGCGAGATATGGTGCAATCCTTGCCCCATCAGAGCGGGTGCATCCCTTTAATCACTGGACCAATATAACTATAATTATATTCCTGCTTACTAATTAAGGAGCACAACTAAATTAAAGCTCACCCGACTTAGTGTAAAACATCAAGAAGAGTTGGTCATTTTGATGATCATCCGCTTCACCAAGTTTGCTGTAAGAGGTTACTACAAATAGAACCTTTTGTATCACAAAGAAATGCTGGTAAAGTGTCGACCCAGTTAAATGGATTTTGAATTCTGAACCAACTTGAGACTGATTGGTGGTAGGGTTTTTTGTAACCTTAGAGGTTAAAGTGATATTGGCCTTCTCCAACCTAAGTTCGTGAATCATCTGCGCGTCTGGTGAGGCTTGAGAGATTCCAGAAGTATTTGCGAGTCGAGAAATGAGGCGGCCACCAAGACCATTTGCATCGTAGACGAAAACCATAATATTTCCAACCGACACGGTGTCGACTGGGAGAGTGATGTTTGCCCAGAGGGTTAACTCCATCTGATCCTCCGATATATTAACAGTTTTATTTGGCTGAGTAATACTGCCGTCTGGGTTAAGCAAAGCCTCCCCTGAAAGCATAAAAATAAACAAGGTTGAAATCTTTCCTTGATATGCAAGGTAGCTTAATTCAACTATATAGGAGATGGAGATCAAAATAAAAAAGTACAAGACGTAATACTGTCTATATGGTGTCCGGTCTTTTCGTCCAAGAGTCTTTTCGTCCAAAAGTATTTTCATCTTAATCTGTCCGTCTAATTGTTAAATCTTTCCGTGAAGCAAATAACTAATATATTATATTATGGATAAGGCTAAATAAAGAACTTATCAGTGCGAGCCGTTGCCCTTTTGGTTCACCAATCTTTGTTTACGAATTCAACCTCATGAGTTTAATACACAGAGAATGAATGAAGTTGTAATGCAATATATTTAACAATTATTCCACGAGCGCGCATTGGATATGAGATGATAGATAGCCAACGAGGCGCGTAGCGCCTCGTTGGCTATAATCATCACATATCCAACAA